TGGTGCATGTTCTCTCTCTCCTCCTTTATAGTCCTCCTCCGCCAATCCTAGCTCGGCTGCCCACACGCCGAGTACGCTGCTCTCCTCCAATCAGGAGCAAGTCCTACAGTTTATTGGTCGAACTGGAGGCAGCTGTGCAGAAGCTGTTTACTTCTCTCCCAGCGCCATATTGTGGGAGAGCAGATGCATAGAATAAGTCTTAATTCCAGTAACTCAGTCCAGTCCGGGCTGCTCCCCACAAGATGGGACCCGGAGGCACCCCAGTTTCATTTTTCTCAAGAAATGTCACAGGCATACAAATGGAGATGTAGATTTAACTCACTCGAGTCTCCCCAAGAAGATGAAGCAAGGACTAACAGGAACGGCAGGAGGAAGGCTTTCACGGGGATAAAAGAAGGCTTGTCAACCTGTCATTTAATGATGCACCTTGGCTGCCCCGGGAGGGTTGGCTCCCCTGCCCCTAGAGCTGAGCCAGTCAGAGTGGCCGCATAGCCGGGAGAGACCTGGCAGGAGCCAGGTGAGGACCTGGACAAGGTGCCGCTGATGTCAAAGGCAGTGAGCCTGGACCAGGAGTGACAAAACCCAACGTGGTCACCTGAATCTATAATCACAAGGAAGTTGGTGATTCTGCCTTATTCTTACTTTGGTAAGAATTCCCGGTGAGATCCACCCTCGGTGCACACAGCAGTATTGTTACATGTGGGTGTGACTCTGGAGGGTCACTGGGGGAGCTAAAGTGCTATACCTGCCTCTAAAGAGACATTTTGTTGCATCGACCATGGCAGCTGGTTGGCTTTGTCTTTATAGAATCCGGAGCACATTGTTCCACAGCGACTTGGATACTGGGGGCCAAGGCCAACAGCGGCAGAGCTGGGTCTGCAGCTAGAGGAAAAGCCTTCTCAGAGACCGTCTCAGCTGAAAGAGGGTGTGGAGTCTGACTTTCCTTTTCAAAATGTTATTAGGAACCAAACTTTAAAAAGCCCCCTCCTCTTCTCTACCAGAACCATGGCCAGAGTCAGCAAGCAGCAGTCCCTGGAGTGTAACATTGAGGTGAGTGTGCAGCACAGATGGACGTAAGGGTCAAGTGGGGGTTGTGGAAGGAGGCCTCGCCCAGGCTCCAGCAGGGCAGTGTGGCGACCCCACCAGCAGGGGCGGCCACCCGCACACACTCCCTGGATGTCCGCCACAGCCTTCTTCAGCTGGTGCCAGTATGTTGCCCCAGCTTTCAACCGCTCCCAAATGCTCGGTCCGGATGCCTCCCAAGGAGCATGAGCACGCCATGCCCTTTGACCCAGCGATCGTGTTCCTTGGGAAAACTCACTTCCAAATGAGCAAGGTCATTTACACAAAGACGCTCCCGACATCAGTGAGGAGGGAGCGGCTTGTGTAGCCGGGCTCCTCTTCCTGCACGTAGCAATGCAAGTCGGCGCTCCATGAGGCCAGAAAGCAAGCAGTGAATTTGCCTCCATCATAGACCTGAAGAATGGTCACATCATACCCTTCACACATTCGGTTACGTATCCACAACATCATTATTCGCCCACTCACTGATTCCACAAACCCTGTGCAGGCTCTGGACACAGGATGAAGCTGGAGGTGTTGGTATGGGTACCTGACCTTGGGCTGTTTATCGAAGACACCAATCCTGCCCTCCACGTGCAAATCCCACTCCACACACCTAAACGTGTGCAAATACACACATGCAGTGCATAAACATGCACGTGCACACACATGTGCACGCACACGCAGCACTGAATCCTGGGTGGGGAGATCAAAGGTTCAAGCCCTTGTGTGGCCGGTGCCTCAGGAGCCCTGTGTCTGAGATCCAGCTCTGTCTCTCAGTGCAAAGGAGCCAAGTCCCTCCCGCCCTCCAGGACAGCGCCCGCATCTGCAGAACGGGGACTTGCCCTTTTCTCATCTTGCTGGAGCTCGGTCACCTGTGATTCTGCAGGCAACTGATGTGTCCTCCGTTCTGGCTAAAACCTCATCTTTCTCACCCAAAAAAAAAAAAAAAAAAAACAACCCTGTGGGCCCTTCTCCTGTCCTGGTTCCTTGTGGAAGGCTGCATGGACAATGCCGTCCACAGGTGAGGACAGATTTCCCGCAATGAGGAAAAGGTCTTTGCTGGAGGGCAAGCACGCTTGGCATCCTGCTTCCCTCTGCCCACCCACAGGTGAGTCATTCGAACTCTGAGCTTTTGTTCCCTGGCTCACAAAGCTGGAAGTCGAATGACACGCGCAGAGTTCACGGTGCTGGCTCATGGCGACCGCACGCCCCACGTGAGCATCTAGCAAACTCAGCAGAAGGAAGAGAGGGAGCGAGGCGCGCACTGCCCGACTCAAGGCTGCAGAGTGAGTTCAGGCAGGGAAAGACCTTAACAGCTCCCCTTGCACAGGTTTGTGAGCCCTTCAGCTTCCCTAAACAGCCCGGCCTCCTTTGCTTGAATACCTCCCGTGGTGAACGCCTCTCATGTCTGGACAGCAGCTCCAGCTGACCCTGAATCCAGTGTGCACAGACACTTCCCCTGCAGTTCTCCAAGCTCCACCCTCTGGAGACCAAGAGGGTGCACCAGCTTCGTCTTCCACAGGCGGCCCTCCAAGGCACTGCGGCCACCCCTCCTCCCTTCTCCACACCAAAGGACCATCCCACAGTTGTATTTATCTTTCCACACAAGCCAAGGTCTCTGTTTTCAGGGCATCCTGGTTTCTCTCCTCTGAGTGCATTTCCACTCATCTGCAACCCCTGGCCAAAGAATCAGAGGGACAGCGACAGCACGGAACACCTAGCCCAAAGTGGCCAAACTCCCTGGCCTGGAGAGGCCCCACTGGCCACCCCAAGGACCGCAGATGACCAACAGGAGGCAGGCCTTGTCTAAAGCCGGCAGCTGCTCATCAGCCCTGACTGCGACAGCCCTACAGGGACTCAAGCCAGAAGAGAAGGCGCAGAGTCAGACCGGCAGATGAAATCTGAGTGTTTTAGTTGGCAGGTTATGAAAACAACCTGTATCACATCAAAGCCGTCTGTGGGCTGGCTCAACCTGTGGGTCATTTACTCACACTTCTGCTAGGTGTGAGAACATTCGAGAAGCCGATGAGACGGTGAACCAGCTCCGGACACTCAAGCACGCACGCCTCCCAAGGAAAGGAACCCTCATCTCCAACTTCTTTCTGAACAAGAGGAACCCAACAACATCCAGGCAAGGCCGTCCTGAGCCCCGGGAGGAGCAGAGAGACCGGGAACCTGGGATGGGGAGAGGGGGGATTCTTCCTTCCATAGCTCCTCAGGTATGTGAGGCAGAAGCAAACCAGCATACAGCACACGCCTACCAGGTACCAGACACCGCATGGGTTAGCCCATCTGATCTCTCGGGCATCTCCACCTGGCAAACGGGGCAGTCAAGGCTCCCCAGCACTGTCATTTGGCTCGGGGCAGCCAGAGGAAGCAGAGTTAGGACTGGGAGCCAAGATTAACCGCAAAGCTCCGGCCCTAGGACCACACCACGCACACGCAGCTGGGCAGTGCACCCCACTCAGCAGGCGCCTCGGCCCGTGGAAGCCCCCGGCAGCTCTGTGAACCAAACTAGAAGGAGTCTCAGGCACTCTAGGATTTGTGAGGGATATGGGGCTAAAACGGACAGGTGTAGGCAAAGAAGATCGGCGTAGACCGGGTACAGGTTCTGGAAGGAGGCGAGTCAAGGAAAGCAGCTCTGAGGACACACAGACCCGGGATGTCCCAGAGGCCAGCTTGCCTGTCACCGTCCCCGGGTCTCAGCTCCAGGGGGAGAAGAGGGGACACATCTTCCGGGGACACACCTGACTCACGTTATCTCTGCCAACTGGGACAAGCATCTCTTCTCCGGAACACAGAGGACAACACAACCTGGCTGGGCCACAGGAAGTCGGGGCACGGGCATAAAACCTCACGTGGGAACCCCGGAACAAGGAGGCAGGAGCAGGAGCAGCCCACGGGGACCCTGGGGCCCCGGCCTCTCCACTGGAGAGCAGACAGAGGCTGGTACCCCGGCAGCGGCTCCAGCAGCTGCAACCCCCACCGCCACCTGGCAGACTCCCGCACTGCTTCTGAACTCGTCCCAGGCCCCGCGGGTGCGAGCTCGGGGACACGGCTCTCTTCTTCCGGCACCCCGCGAAGGGCTCGCGCGCCCCGGCTTCGGAAGGGGGCACACGTGCTCGCGGGGAGCCCCGCCCAGCTCACTCTGGCTCCCTGCCGCCGGTGGCACGGGGGTCCCCGAAGCCTGCCCCTCCCCAGGCCTTACCTGGCAGCGAGAGGCCGAAGGGGGTGCCGCCGGCTCAGGTCCAGGGCCCCGCGCCCGGGACTGGGAAGTGCCTCCGGGAGGAGTCGCCTGCGGCAGTCCCGCACTCCCGGGGCGGGACGGGAGAGAATCTGGAGGCGTCCGCAGGGAGGGCGCGCTTCAGCACTAACACCTGTGTGCGCGAAGTCGAGGCGGAGCTCGAACTTACAGAGCGAAGGAAAAGCGTGCGCAGAGCAGAAAATGCGGGAAGGAGAGAGGCAGC